TAAAAAGCAGACACAACATTTAACAAAACTAAAAATTAAACTAAACTAAAAACTTAATAGCAATTAGTGGTTGCCAGAGGCTGTGGGGAAGAAGGACTGGGGAGTTTCTTTTGGGACTAATAAAAATATTCTAAAATTAGATAGTATTATCAGTTGCACAACTCTTATAAATATACTAAATGAATTCTACACTTTTTTTTTTGCTGTTTTGTTTGGGGGGGATAATTAGGTTTTTATTTATTTTTAATAGAGGTATTGGGGATTCAACCCAGGACTTTGTGCACACTAAGCACATACTCTACCACTGAGCTATACATACAGTCTCCCCCCAAACTGTACCTTTTAAAAGGAAGAATTGAATGGTATGTGAACTATATCTCAATAAAGCTGTTACTTAAAAAACATAATGGCAAGACCTCAGACTGCCTACATGTCTCCATTTTTCAGTAAAAGTATGCTAGTGATCTAAAAAATAGGTAAAAACTTTCTAATTTATGAAATGGATTCTTAAAAATTGAAACTTCAAATACCATGGATATGTAGACACAACAAGAAATTTTGGACTAGATCATAAGAGGAAGAGTCATTTGATAGCATTAGATCTCATTTTCACACATTTTTAGCCAATAAGTTCTTACTAATTTGTCTGATTATTTTCTCTGAGGAATATCCTCAGGTGGGATACTTTTTGTTTATCAGATTATGCCAGGAGAACAGCTCCCTGTGTTTTAAAAATCTGAACAAGCATATTATCATTTCTAAAATAATACATGAATTAATTAAAATATGAACTTTTCTCATTCAAATATTCAATTTATGAAAAAGTTCTAGTGAAAAGAAGTGAATATGGAGGCATGCATACAACAAAATTAAAGACAATTAAAATTCAAGATGCTATCAATCATAAAGCTCACTCATATCATATACTACTAAGGAAAGGGGGAGGAGATGCACAAGAAAAGTCAGAGCCTCATAAAGCTAGGATTATCAAAGGCCTATACCCATAATACAAGGGAAAAAGAGAAATAAATCTGCACACAGAAAGAACACACAAAGAAATTCGTACATCTCAGCCTTGACACTGAGTCTGGGAAAGGGGAAAAATCTCCCCCTGAGAATCTGAACAACCAAGTCAGGTAGGTTTGTCGTCTGAAGTTACACTACTAAAGTGGTTAATACTGCCCCTAGGTGACTCAAAGAAATGATGTCCTCTCTAGAAGAACTCAGCTTTATTCTAGGTGGTAGATTGATAGATATAGACCAAGTTCAGAGACGTCTAAATGTGAAAAAATGTGTATCTTGAAAGTAATAAAAGACTAACAGTAGTGATCATGCTGTCTTTCCACCAAAGATTTCAGAGCACACTTTAAGGAGATTCTCTTTAAGAAGAGATTAAAATTCCTTTCACCTTCATTCTCAAGTGAAGAAATTGCAGTAATGAGAGCAAGGATGGTGGGGAATAAAAAAGAGGACTAACAAATGAAGAATACATTAATTAAGGGAAAAACCAGAAACAATATTAATACTCCTGAAAATAAACCTACTGTTCTAAAGCCTCAGTTTAATTAAACATAGGTTTTCCCTATCTTTTTTTTTTCCTATTTTCCCTTCAATTCCTTTTTACTATTTTGCCCCAATTTTTAAAAGTAAAGGCCAATGTATACAGGATAATTTACAAAATGTAGCAACATATTAAGGTTGAATTCTGTGGGATAAAAATTAGAGAAGAAAATACTACCCATGTTATTGATAGGCCAAATTAACAAGTGTACTGACTATGCCTATAATGGAAAAGAGAGGTCAAAATCTAGAATTTAAAATAAAAGCAAATGATAAAGTTGATTTTGACCTCTAACCTAAAAAACATCAGCTCTGGTAATAAAAGGCATTCTAACAGCTCTAGAGGATTAGGGTTCAATCATGACAATGACACTAAAAGGAGAATGCATTGTTTCCTGCATTACACATCCTCGAGCACCTGTATCTTCCCAAATATATTCCCTTGAAAATGCATAAACAATAACATTTTTATTTACAAAATTTTAAATAAGCAAGTTGAGGAGCTTCTCAAGTCTCACCCCCTACCAAATTTACTGAGGTATAATTTACCTAAAATAAAATTCACCCACTTTAAGTGTAAAGTTCAGTGAGTTTTGGCAATTGTACACACTCATGTAACAACTACCACAACATATTCTTTCATGTCCTTTTGCAATACCCTAGCCAACCTTTGGCCCCAAGCTACCATTGATCTATGCTTTCAGTCACTACAGTTTTCATACAAATGGAATCAAACATCATGTAGTTTGCATCTGGCTTCTTTTTCTCAGCACAATACTTTAGCGATTCATTCATGTTGTATATGTATCAAAAACTTGTTCTTTTATTCCTGAGTAGTATTCCATTTTATGGATATACCACAATTCGTTTATCCATTCACTTATGGATATTGAGTTGTTCCCAGTTTTTGGCTATTATATATAAATAATGCTGCTATGAACAGTCACATACAAATCTGTGTGGGTATATGCTTTCATTTCTCTTGGAGTAAATACCTAATAGTGGAGTTCATTTACTAGTTCATTTAGTAAGTGTATGTTTAACTTTAAAAGACACTGCCCGAATTTTTTTTTAATTTTGCACTCTCATCAGCAACATGAGAGTTCCAGTTGCTCCACACTGTCAGTGTTTTTAATTTTAGTCATTCTAGTGGGTAGCAGTGCTATCTCACTGTGGTTTTAATTTGTATTTCTCTAATGACTAATGATGTAGCATATCTTTTCAGATTCTTATTGGCCATGTCTTTTTTGTGTGAAGAATCATTTTTAAACTGGGTTGTTTGTATTATTGTGTTATAAAGAATTCTTCATATATTTTGGATATAAGTACTTTATCAGATACATATTCAGAGAGAATATTTTCTCCTAGTCTGTGGCTTGCATTTTCATTTTCTTAATGCTGTCTTTCAAAAAGTAGAGGATTTTAAAAAAAATTCTGATGAAGCCCAATTTGTCAATTTTGTCTTTCATGTTTTTAATGTGTTTTATCTAAGGAATCTTTACCTAATTCAAGGTCAGAAAGATTTTCAACTACACTTTATTTTTAACTTTTATATTTAGGTCTACGATTCTTTTTTGTGTTTTTTTTTTTAAATATAAGTTTAAGGCAAAGGTCGAGGTTCATTTTTTTTTTCTATATGAATGTTCAGTTGTTTCAGCACATCTGTTAAAAAGACTAACCTTTTGCCATTGAATTACCATGGCTTCACTGCTGAAAATCAATTGACAATTTACGTGTGGGTCCACAAACTCTCTACTAGGTTTCATCATCTACATATGTCTATCCTTACACTAATACCACACGTCTCAATTACCACAGGTTTATAACAACACTCAAGTATAATTTTTGATGATTTAACTCTTAACAATCCTTTCCTATTACTATTAGGGAAATATTTTATAGATATCAAAACATCATACATTTAAAAATTGTGAATATAAGAATTCTTTTCATCCCAAAGTAGAAGTTCATCCATTTGTCTGTAGAGATAGCAAATGAGAATAAAAGCTAATAAAATAAACTTCACTTATAGGATTCATGCATTTCAAATGCACTTGTTCATTACCTACTCAGACAGTATAGGAATTCCTCCCAGGGACCCCTTGAAAGGAATCGAAAAGAATACCTCAGGTCTTAGAGTGCTAACTTACACAGAGATCTTTTTAACTAACCAATTCTAACATATGCTTTACCATAGGGGGAAAGGTAGTAGTAATTACTTCCCAAGAATTCAGACTGCATCTAGAAGTATAGTTCTTAAATCTATAAACGAGCTTTATAAACAACCACTTACTTGTACAAGACTGACAACTATTACCAGCATCTGAGATAATCTTCATCATAAAAATTGTTTAACAAAAACTGTAAATTTGTCGCCAGTGCTGGACGGAAAGAAAAACCTACAAACCTGAAGAGGCAGTCCTCTCATAATTTTCACATTTAAATAAACCTCAAAATTCTAGTGATGTCATGAGAGATCTAAAAATAATACAGAATTATTTATACACATGGTTATTCTCTTTATTCAGTAATGAGGTTTTAAAATAGCAGTAAAGTGGGCCAATTTTATTTTGCTCATAGTCAACACATGATTAGGTAAAAATAAATTATGTGAGACTCTGAAACTACTTCAAAATTTCTACTAGAAAAAATTAGGAAAAGAATCAAGAGCTTTCAAATTAAAATAAAATTTTAAATTGTACTTATTTTTAAAGACTTTTTTTTGAGATCTATGTTCTGTTTGATCAAAGGGACTGTCTCTCTCAACCAGGTCTAGTTATGCTTGAAAACTAGAAATGAGATAATTAACAGTATGCAGCTATAAACTTACTTATCACCTATTACAGTGGTCACAAAAAGAGTATCAGTAACAATTCAGACTCTGAGGCATAAGAGAAAATAATATAAACAACAAAAAACAGAGAACTATTTTACACTGCAAAATAAAGAGGAATAGGGGATTCTACTTGAAATTATTTTTTTGTCTATACTGCCCAGAAAGAAACAAAAACACAGGATGCTTTTCAATCTTCATATCATTTTCTAAAGGTACAAATTATTTTAAAATGCATTTAAATTTTTAAACTTCATTTATTCTATGTAAAATTCTTTGGTAAAACATCACTGTTTGCTTCTTCCAATCTTAAACACTTTCTATTGAAAAACAAAATGAGTTTACCACAGGGTGCTTATATCTCACTAAATTCCTATTAAGATTATCCATTCTCAATGTGGTCTTTCAAAACAGCAACAGTAACTTTACAGTAGATTACATGTGAAACACTAACAATGTAAGCTTTCAGCTGAATTTCTTTCAATCTCTCCCTCTATCTCTACTTTCAGACTAGTAGCACTGCTTATTAATCTTCTAATTCACTCAGATGACTATAACACCTCTTCACTGAGAAAAATGAGGAGAAAAGAATAATAAACTCACTTACCCTTCCTTAGACATTCTCAAAGATCTACTTCCTCTGGAAGAGAATACAGGATCAACAAACAAGCTTCACTGATCTCTTGAGAACTGTAGCTCATTTGTTAAAGCACAGAGAACTCAGGCCCTGAGAGGCCCAACAAATTCGGGCACAATGCCGAACCCTAACCAAGCAGTATCTCAGAGACCAATATTCTCAGCTTTAAATACTTGAAAAACCTAAGATAACAGAAAAAATTGGAGAGCAGGAAAAGTAACTAATAGTCTGAACTGTGTAAGACTAGCCAGTTTAGGAAGGAGACAATCCAAATGGCAAGTTCCCGTAAGAGACAGGAATCGTTACTGGCAAACACACAGAAAAAGCAAATTTACCCCCTAATGAGGCCCGCCAACAGTACGCAAACAATGTGAGTTTCACAGAATGGAGCGGTCCTAGTCAGTCCAAATCATGTTTAGTTTGCTCTGGGAGGAAAAAAAAAATCAACAAGATTAAAAAAACACTATGTTTTAATTATCAGTTTAGTTATTTCCTTCCTTAGAAAATGAGCAATGTGAACTATAAGAGAAGGAAATATTTATGTGCCGATCATATTAAATGAGGAACCTAAAGTATTTCCACACTGAGGTCTTTTTTCTGATCATTAACTGCTTTTAAGGAAAGCATCTGTGTTCACAAACATTTCACTCAATTGCCTGAAAATTTCAGCTGATGTAAAAAGAAATCCACAGATCTTTGGCATATGGGCGATAAACCCAGAACATTCTAAAGGTTAATTCCAAATCTCAGAGCAAATTGAAGTTTGAAAGAAAAACATCTGCAACATTCCTGCCTCCTGGCCAATGTAATGCATAGGGATTATGCAACAGGGGGAGAAATAAACAAGTGTGCTAAAGTCTAAGAACACTGAGATGGCAAATAAATCCTCCCAGGGGTGATTCAAGATAAAGTATATATACCTGAAAGAAATACTACATGAGTTAAAATTTCAATTAAAAATTTTTTTCTTTAAATATTACCTAAATTACCTACCATAACGGTTTCTATTAGTTATTAAAATGTTTAAACAGTCATCAAGTAACTAAAAGCACTACTAAATACTACAAATTCAAACTAAAATAATTTTCAGTTTATTTAGAAAAGCAGTATGGAAAGAGAATGAGCACCAGTGCAACTAGGTTTAAATCCCACTTCTCCACTTTCTGGCTTTGGGGCCTTGAATAAGTTGATTAACCTAAGCCTGAGCTTTTTATCTACAGAAGACAGATAACATCTGGTAGGGCTGTTGTCTGTCATTTGTAAGCACTCAAAGAACTATTGTAACTTGGAGGGTTGGGGTTCAGGAAAAGCAACTGGAATGTCAAGCATTATCTTGACAAAATACCTCTTGAGAAACACCTTTTAAAAATCCAATTCTCAATTATACCTGACTATGAAGGACTTTCACTATCCTCAAACCAAATTCCATAAATACAAGAATACAAACTAAATATGGAAAATGATCTAATCCTTAAGAGCGCCAATTTCCCATGGCTTCCTTGGATTTTCAGCTTGTGGCATCACAGCTCAGTGTGGTGGAAATAAATGTAATTACTATTTTAAGACTTTACTACTTATAAAGAGAAAGGAAAACAACTCACTTGAACAGAGGGTATACACACTTATATAAGCTTCCTGTGCCGAAGGAGACTGCACCATCTAAAGATGATTAGCGCTTTCAAACTCTGTTCACATATTCAAGAAGTACTTACTGACTCTACATGCCCGTGCCTGGTACCAGTGATACAAAGACAAACGCGACAGTCCCTGATTTTAAGGAGTTGAGAGTCTACTGGAGGAGGCCCACTCCCAGTTTAAAAAGTCATGTGTAGCTGTAGTATTAGAGATATGCACAACAGAGGTGTATCTATATTCTCCTGGCTGAGTCTTAGTGAAGGACAGGATGCCCACATTGTTCTTAAACTGACACTATGCTAAGCACTTTATACATTTATTAGCACATTTAATCCTCAAATAACTCTATGAGGTAGAAATTATTCCAATTTCATAGATGACAAAACAAAGTTTATAGCAGTTAAATATCATGATTCTAAAGAAATTATATGGAATAATCCAAAATGTTAACTCAAGGCTCAGGCTTCTAACTACCACAATAAAAGGATTAGCAGGTGTTAATCAGGCTAAGAGGAAAAGAAAGGGTACAGAATATTCCAACTGAAGAGAAACTATAAATGAAAAGCAGAGTGACACAGATACCATGATGTGTGGAAAAAACCTAGACGCTGTTTAGAATTGATGGAACACACAGTTTGAGGAAGGGAGCTACTTCAGATGAAAGTGGAAAGGAAAGGATCAGTCCTTACAGAGCCTTAAATGCTATGTTACTGGGCTTAGAATTTATCCTAAAGCAGGCTGGATGCGATGCCACTGAAGGTTTTGTGATAAACATGATTCACAAAATAGATCTGAAGAGGACAAGGATGAAGGGCAGGGAGACTGGACTAGCATTATCAGGAAGAAAAAAGTCCAGAATCCAGAAAAATTAGGTTTGTATTAAAAGTGCACATATAGGGGCTTGGTATAGCTCTGTGGTAGAGCGCATGGCTAACATGTATGAGGTCCTGGGTTCAATCCCCAGTACCTCCATTTAGAAAATTTAAAAAATAAAGTGCACATGTGTGCTTGTGTGTTTAAATGTACTGAAAGAGGACTAGAAGGATGATCTCCAAAGTACTGACAATGTTTACCTATGAGAAAGAGAAGTGGGAGTGAAAGGGTAAATGAAGAGGAACTTTCACATTTATTCTATATATTTCTGTATTCCTGAATATTGTACAGTAAGAATTTACTTGTATATTATTTAAATAATTTTAAACACTTTTCAAAAAATAATTAAGAGATTAAAATTTGAGATCAATAATTGTATTATACTCTCCTTCTTTGATCTATGGTAGTCATAGTCAGAGATGGGCTATCATCATACCTAATGATGAAAGACTGAAAGCTTTCTTCCTAAGGTAAGGTAAAAGAAAAGGATGTCCGCTCTCACAAGTTCTATTCAGCATGGTACTAGACATTCTAGCCAAGGCAATCAGGCAAGAAAAAAGGTCTTCAAATTGGGAAAGAAAAAGTAAAACTATCCTTATTTGTAGATGACGTGATCTTATATTTAGAAATCTGTGAAGAATCCAAACACACACAAAACTATTAGAGCTAATAAATTCAGCAAAGTTGCAGAATACAAGATCAGTATATAAAAACCAGTTGTACTTCCATAAACTAACAATGAACAATACAAAAATAAAATTAAGAAAACAATTCCATTTAATATAGCATCAGATTCTAAAACAATTAGAAATAAATTTAACAAAAGAAGTGTAAGGCCTATATACCAATAACCACAAAAACTGTTGAAAGTAAAGATTTAAATAAATGTAAAGACATCCCATATACATCAATCAGGACACTTGATACTGTTGAGATGACAATACTTCTTAAATTGTTATATAGATTGAATGCAATCCCTACCGAAATCTTAGCTGGCTTTTTTTTTAACAGAAATTGACAAGCTGATTCTAAAATTCTTGTGCATATAGGAGGTCCCCAGAATAGTTAAAACAATCTTGAAAAGCAAGAAAAAACTAACTAGAGGACTCACATCACAATTTCAAAACTTAAAGTTAGTTTTCAAAACTTAAAAGCTGCAGCAATTAAGACTGTGTTAGTACTGACATAAAGACAGACAAAAAGATCAATGGAATACAACTGAGAGTCCAGAAACAAACACAAACATCTATGGCCAACTGATTTTTGACAAGAGTATCAAGATAATTTAATGTGGAAAGAATACTCATTTTTCAACAAACAGTGCTAGGACAACTAGATATCCACATACAAAAGAATGAACTTAAACCCGTCTTGAACCATATACAAAAATTAACTCAAAATGTATCCAAAACCTAAATATAAAACTATAAAACTCTCAGAAGAAAATTAAGGTGTAAATCTTTGTGCCCCTCGATTAAGCAATGATTTCTTAAACATGACATCAAAAGCACAAGCAACAAAAATCATAGGTAAATTGGACTTCACCAGTACTAAAAAACATTTGTCCTTCAAATGACAATGCCAAGAAGATGAAAAGACAACCCAAAGACTAGAAAAAAACATCTGAAGATCATGTATCAGACAAAGGTTTAGTATCTACAATATATCAAGAACTTATACAACTCAACAATAAAGACAACTCAATTAAGAAATGGGCAAAGGACCTAAAAGGGTATTTCTCAAAAGAAGATAAACAAATAGCCAATAAGAACATAAAAAGATGTTCAACATCAGTAATTATAAGGGGAATGCAAATCAAAACCACAATGAGTTATCACTATACAAACACTAGGATGCCTGTAGCCATTTTTAACCCATTAACAATAACAAGTGATACTGAGAGGATGCAGAGAAATTGGAAGCCTTATACGTTGCTGTAGAGAATGTACAAAGACGCATTTGCATTGGAAAACATAAAGTCCATATGACCCAGCAAATTCCACTGAAGTATGTGTATATGTGTATATATATATACACACACACACGTATGTATATATGTATATATCCATATATCCATATATATATACACCCCAAATTGAAAACAAGACCACATAAAACATATATATGTACAATTTTTTGTGGCATTATTCATAACAGCCAAAATGTGGAAACAATCCAAATATTAAACAACAGGTAAAAAGGTAAACAAAATGTGGTACATTCATACAATGGAATATTATTCAGCTATTAAAGTAATTAAGTACTGACTCATGCTACAATATAGATAAATCCCAAAAACATTAAGTGAAAGAGTCAGACAAAAAAAGTCACATATTTTATTATTCTAGTTATATAAGATGTCCAGAATAAGCAAGTCCATAAAGACAGAAAGTAGATTAGTGGCTGTCACCAGTTGGGGAGAGAAGGGAATGGGGAGTAACTACTAACAGGTATGGGGTTTCTTTTTAGGGTGATGAAAATGTTCTGGAATTAAATAATGGTGATGGTTATACAGCTCTCAATATACTAAAACCTAGTGAATTGTATACTATGGTTTTATGTTATATGAATTATATCTCAATAAAGCTGTTTTTTAAAGAATATATAAAGTCAAATCAAAAGGAAGAGACAACCCAATGAACAAATGACTTGAACAGGCAAGTCACAAAAGAGGATATCCAAATGGCCAGTTAATACATGAAGAGGTGTTCAACCTAATTATTCACCAGAAAATCACAAATTAAAACCAAATGAGATACCACCACATATCCACCAAAATAACTTTTAAGTTAAAAATACTATTCAAGAGATTAATATTAAAGTGTTGGTTGTGTTGCTTTCATACATTGCACATAAAATTGTAACTCAGAGCAACTACTTAAGAAAATTATTTTTGCTATATCTACTAAAACTAAACATATGCTTTACCCTATGGCCCAGCAATTCTACTCCTTGGTAGAAACCAAAAGAAATGAGTGCATACATCCACCAAAG